ATATAAGAAATAACATTTCCTCGAAATAAAAAATTGATTTGGCATTTAATTTCTCAGCTTATTTTTTTCGGAGGCGTTTCAAAGAATGAAATTCAACGTCAAGTTTCAAGCTGTTTGTCTGATTTAAACTTACACGATAAGTGACGGTCGTTCTTTTATTTGTTCATTTACCAGCTTGCATTTTGAAAGTTACAGGTGATTTTTTGTTATGCTTGTTTTTGTTCAAGCTAGTTTCCTACTGGCTGTTGGTTTTGTCACACGTTTTCATCAAAATGATTTTCGTTGCTTTGTGTATCCCTCGCCTCTGCGTTGAATTTTTGTGTCAGAAATCATTTGCGAGAGCAAATGTAATTGGTTTCTAAATTTTTTAACTTTACTAACTTTTCCTGCAAATCTAAAACAAATTCTACTAGCTCTAAAATTGAATCTGAACAAATTCGACGATTTTTTTTTCACTTTGTCTAGAGTTAGGTCGGCAGTCGTTGCAACCAAAGGTCTGAAACTCGATTACCTCCCTGACCTTGTTTTGATCAGTATGTATGAAATGAAAGTTTGTAAGTTGACAACGCCAAATGAACCATCTGTTTATACACTTTGAAAAAAATTTTAAAATGAAAAAACAATTATGCAAAATCAGAATGGTAAATTTACAAGTTATTGAGCTTTCAGTTATAGTAAATAATAACTTAACCTGGAACAAGACCCATGCTTTAAAATGAAAGCCAAAAACCCTACAGGATAAAAAAAAGTGTGCGTTTGAAAAAAAGCAGAAAATGAGCCGACAGAAACTAGGGCGACAACCACGAACCCGAAAAAAAGTGGATTTTTTTGAGATAATACTACAATCTGAAACATTCTTTAAAACTCACTGCTTAAATGATGTTAGTTTTTTTTAATTTCTAGAATTTTAGGATGACAAAATGATTTTTACCATTCCTGCTAAAATGACCTTTCTGTAAACAAAGTTGTTTACAAGATAAAAAGTCTAGAACCCCCCCCCATTACAAAACCTTTGCTTACCGCATTTGTAATAAAATGAAATCATAATTCGTTTCGAAGCTACGTCTGAAGAACAAGTAGTATGATTTATCTGATATATTACTCGAACACTTATTTGTGGTATCTGATTTAGTCATAAAAACGCATCTCCAGCCAAAATTCTTTCCTACTTCTAAGAGAGTCTTAAGTCAAACGACTTTCTAACCAACACTAGGTCGAAATATGGGCAAATATATGAGGCGAATTTGCAAAAATTAGACATTTTTCAAAATTATTTCAACGATTTTCATTAATTTGCTAATAACTCTTACTACGTTCATAACTCTTAAAAAAGAGTTTTCCCAGTTGATTTTTTGTTGTTAAGTTTTCCATTTAGAGAAAAATAGATTAATAAAATTTTTTTGCTCAGCGGGAAATTTAAAAACTAAAATTTTATTATGTTTTTGCTGTTCGATAGTGATTTCTTTTCCGTTCAGCAAAGAAAATGAATTGAACTTCGAACCCCGAATGAATTGAAGTTCGAACCCCGAATGAATACAACTCTCACGACCTATATAAGTTAGAATCACATCAATCTCACACACTGACGCAATTCTGCAAGATTATATACAATTGGTGAACATGGTAAAGAAAATTGAAATACAAAACTTATTACAAGAAAAATTATTCTGCAGAAAAAACGAAAGGCGATAAGGAGTATTTTGTGTTCGTTGCTGTTTAGCTTTCCTCGTTATTATTTGATGAATATTTCTTCATAGTTTACATCCTTTGGTATCGATCATCAGCATGCACGTGAAATCTTCCTATTAACATTTCCGACTATTAGTTGATCTAACAGGACTCTCGGGCAAAACTGCAAAGTAAAAAAATTGATTCGAAGTTAATAAGAATACTGCCAATTTAAAACTAAAAGCTCTTCAAAATCAAACGCATTCAACATAACGTTGGAGAAGTGTTAATGAACTTATGAACCATAATCAATGCCTTTTTTGATCAAAACTTGAGTTAAAAATGACAAAAAAGACATCATGGATTCAATACAGAGGTCTTTTTCTATTTCCACGAACTTTCAAGCCTGGTGCTTTTATATAGAACAAACTTGAAAACACATTCGAAAATTTTTTCTGTGCAAAATTTGAAAATACATTTGAAAAATGGAAATAGATTCGAAATTTGATCTGCAAGAATTAGAACTTTTCTGAAAAAATTACCATATTTTTCATTCATTAACACTTGAAAACACCAAAAATTAACAGTGATCTTAGTTTATTCAACCACGTCTACTACTTCTTGAAGTATCTATAAGTAATAAATAGAGTTCCAGACAGGAGTCCCAGCTTGATCAGTTTCATCCAGGGTAGCAGACTCTTCTTGCGGGGAATTACCTCCAGTTCTTTGATGTCAATCGAGTCTGCTGAGTCCCAGTGGTCCTCGATGCCCTTCATATGTCCGATACCAACTACTGCAACTATTGAGTCGCCCGCACTTCCTGAAAAATTCAATTAGAAAAATCATGGACAATATTCTAGGCAAAAACTCGTACGTAAACCCGGGCACTGAATTGGACACAGGATATTTTTTGGCACAACAGAATAGGCAAATTTTTCGGTGGTAGAAACATATTTTGAAGGTTTGAATCTTTATCTTACTTCCGTCTGCACACTTTCTGATGGAATTTGCTAGGTATAAGTCTCTCTCGGACACGATCACTCTGCTCAGTTCAGGAAAGTCTTTCTTCAGCTCCCCCAACAGCTGCTCCAACATGTCCTTTCCCTTACAATTCTCCACGTCTTCCAGGCTGAAACAAACCAAAAACTAAACGCACAATTCCTCGTTTCACCAAAAGATAGCCGGTTACTATGCGAGTAGCACAGAATGTTCCGACCAGTCTTAAAAAAACGCGTTTTTTTTTTTCAAATGATTGTCGTTTTTCTGCGTGGTGCGATAAAAAGATCTGAACGAAAAAATATAGCTTGGGCATATTCAACAGTCATAGGTAACAAGGCAAACATAAAACAGTTTTTTAGAAAAAAAAAAACAAAAGAAAACATTTTTTTTGCAGAAATTTTTTAAATCCCCACAACGGTGCTGAAAACTCCAAAAACTAAGATTATTCGAGTAAATGTAAGTTTTCACGCTTTAAATTGAGCATAACTAAGCTATTGTAAGCCTGCATGCTCATCTTATTAGCTCAAAAATTAGACCAAAAACTTCATACAAATTTTTCTCAACACTATTCGTGGTACCTAATTTAGCGTGGCAAAACAAGAAAAAAGAAAACACCCGAATACGGTTTCTCTACACTTTCACTGGTCGGAACAAAAACGTGAAAAACAAAAAAATCCAGCGGGATTCGATCCCCTGCACTCAAAACATCCGATAATTTGTGTCAAGTGCCCTACCAAATGCGGCACAGAGCTATAACAAATTTTTATACAACACATACAATACAATACATCGCTATCAAATGATACGCAGGACAACTTGATGGAACTAAAGGTTGCGATTTGGGCCGGAAAAAATGAATTCGTAGCATAAAACAAGCATTGTCTGACAGAACAACGTGCAGTTTATAAGTCATACGAGGACAAGCTAGTCAAAAAATGAATATTTTTTGGGCGAAGTCTTGCTTGATACCAAAAAAGAAAATACTTCACTGGCAGATTACCAGATGACAACACATTATTTTAAATTCCTTAGTTAGAATGATTTAGTGTATGTTAAATAAAAGTACAGATGAATTGTCAATTATGCTAATACAATTCGGCATTTCGTAAGAGTTAATAAAACATTTCGTACGTGATGTCGTCTACATCGCTTGTAGCTAGTGTGAACAGCAAATGGGCCCTCTTCCAGGCAGAAAGGGAGTACCAGGCCCTCTGCAGAGTGACGAACACGTTCCTGTCTCCCGCGTACACATTCGCCTTAGGCTCCAGCTTTTGGCTCTAAAAAAAAATTCGTTGTCCAAAATTCTTTTCACGAACTATCCAAAAATGATTCAGAAAACTGCACACAGCCATCTGTAAAATCGATAAATTAAAAAGATTTGTTCTTATCTGACGTTATTAATATTTGGTTATTGGTCCGACCACTGAAAGGTCTTCGAGTGCGTTTTTCTTTTACTTTTTTCCCACGCAAAATCAGGTATGCACTAATCATTAGAATGGGTCAAGAAATACGTCAAATTCAAGCCATTTCACTCGTGATTCGAGCGAAGAAAAATTAATAACGTTTCTTAGTGTCGATAAACACCGCTTTAAAACTCAAGCGTATGATTAAGTTTTATAATAGTAAAAGTTTTTTGGCCTTGAAAACTAAATTTTACTGCAAAAAAACAAGTTTTTGTAGCTTACTTAAGGGCTTCCTTGACAACAGAAAGCTTTTGTAAAATCAGCAAAAAAAATAGAACAAATGTATGATTTTATTTTATATTAGTTTTTTTTCTTGTTTTGTAACCCATTTTTTGAAGAAAACAGTAGTCGATTATGATTACTTTAGTAACTTTTCAATCTTTCGTCTTTCCTCCCATCCCTCCACGCGCAAAAAAACTGTATAACTTTATGGCATGTGGTCGGAACTTTCTGTGTTACTTGCACAGCAAACAACAACTCCTTTTAACTTTTGAGATCTTAGTATCGCAAGGTATCTTTAATCAACCCAGTTAGCGACAATAATTTGTTTACTTAAAATTCTTACCAGACCCAAAATTGGTGGCGTTGAAATAATGGGAAGGAAAGCCAGGAATTTGGTCGGGAAATTCACGAAAAAAATTATTTGATTTTTGGAAAGAACATCGCAGTCAAATGCTTTAGCAAAAGTGCTTCTTGTAAGAACCCGTCCGATTCTTGTCGGTCAAATCGCACTATGCTGACCTCTTCGAAGGCAGCTCTGAACTCTCCCCCTGGAGTGAGTCCTGTCTTCTGTTGGATCTTCACTGACACATAGAGCAACAGACAGTTCAACAGACCCACCATTGCACTGCCGTGCTGAACACAAACAGACAGACTTTCATTAGTTGATAGGTGCCATATAAACAGGCGAAGTATAAATCAGCTACCATATAAAACAGCCAAAAATCCGGAGCTGGTACATAATAATGATAGAACAGTTGTGTAATAGTTACAAAGTTCTTAATAATTTCAACAAACATGACGTTACTTTCCACTGTGTTATATACTCGACTCATTATCGGCTGGCTTTTCCCTCGACTGATTAATTTACATTCAGTTAATAGACACCGAATTTCAACAGACTATTTTGAAAAAAAATTGTTTGTTTCAAGGGTCAATCTATTAGAAACGCGCAAAATCTTACAAAACCACTGATTATCTTCCCAATTTGCAAAATGGTCTCGAAAAGAGTACTGCGCATTTCTTAATAATAATAGTGGAAAAATAAAAACATTAAAAATAAGTTGAGACAGATTTGACTCTTTGAACTAACCCTTGAAACAAATAGCGAAGAAATCATTTCGATTTACTGTTCCTGAAATGTTTTTGTGTAAACTCAAAAAAAAACAAAGGTTTCACACACTGGTTTGGTGGCTACCATCATCATCATCATCATCATCACCATCACCATCACCATCACCATCACCATCACCATCACCATCACCATCACCCTCACCATCATCATAATCATCATCATCTCCAATGTTCAAGAGCCTTAAGCGGCCCCTATTTTACTGGCTCTCGAAATTACGTTTGCAGCCCGGAAAAGTCTATAGTGGCTACTCTCTAGATAGTTTGCATTTATTTGTCCGATAGAGACTTAAGCGGCCACGAAACTTGTGATTATCGGATAAAAATTTCTTCTGAACTAGGCATTGAATTTTGGACAGAGCCTGAATTGGCCATTGGAAGGAAACTGCTGACCTTTTTCATGCTGAGGGATATGCTCTGGTACGAGAGCGGGTTGGGCGTGTCCTGCATTCTTTCATGATTGTTTCTTAACATGATGTCCCTCCTGGAACCGCACAACTCCACCACAATGTCTGTCGGTCTTGCATGTCTGATGATCTGAACAACACTTATACATAAAAGCAAACCATCATTGAGTGAATATCAACCGTCTTATATTTAAGTAGAAGATGCTACACGACTCTTGTTTTTGGATTAATCATTCTATACTGGAGAAAGAAAATAACGCAACCAAATGTTTCAAGACCATATTAGCTTTTCTTTTGAAAACTATTTGCTATAAACCATTTAATTCTGCATGTAAAAGGAACAATCTTTGATTACAATGAAAACTTTGAACGAATTTTAACTAGAGAAATTTCAACTTCAAAATCTTAAGAATCTTACCTCACATGGGGAAAATTTTGAATTTTTCAACCTTTTTATGCAGTAAGGGCAAAAATTCCGTGAGTTTTCTCATACTTCCAAGTTAAGATCAATTTTTCTTGACTATCAAAAAATGTGAAAAAATTAAGAATAAAGTTTCAAATCAGAGCCTCTAAAGTGAGTTTTTTGGAATGAAAACAGTGTTTTGAGTTTCAGCTGACCATTAGCTCACTAACCAACTTTATATTGAGTAAATATCATCTGAAGAGGACTAAACAAGATAGTTTTTCTGAAATTTAAGTTCCTCATTTGTGTTACATAAATTCTCCAGTATACAATGAAATTATTTGCTTAGCCAATTAATACAAAAATTGGTTGCATACATGGAAAGATAGCAGAGCAACAGAAAACTGTCGTTCAACGTAAAATGCTCGCCAGTTCATTAAATATTTAAAATCAAAGAAAAAAGATCAGATCTGAGAAGAATACAATATTTACATTTCTGACATCTTCTTGACTCTCTTCGCTGAAATGCGCAGTACCAACCAAGTAAACTTTAGCCCCTTTACAGCCAGTCAAAACGTGGATAGTCTCCGGCAACTTGTTCACGTCGAACTCTTTGATCACCTGATGATCACCCGACATCATCTCTACTCGCGACTCCGTTTGCACACTCGTCACGTGATTTTCCGATTCCGGTTCCATGTTTTCGACGTTAGTTACTCCTAATCCGTGTGTTGCAGTAGTGATATCTCCAAAAATGGAGTCAAAATCTGCCAGAAGAGCTAATTTGACTTCTGATTTGTCTTCGCTCAGCGGTGTTTTGAGCGAGAGCGTGTTGTATTGGCTACTGCAGGCTGAATCGATGTGTGATCTTTGACTTTCGGGCAGCACAAGTGAATCTGATTCCAGCAGCTCAAGTTTAGAAGAGGTCAGCTCCCGGTAACTCCTGACTCCTTTGACAGTTCCTTGAACAATTAAAAGTTTTTCAGTTTTAAATTGACCTTCTCTCTTATTTTAAATGCCCACTGTAGATCAACATCAGCAAACGAATAAAAATAATTCAGTAAAGCTGAGACATAAAATTCGTGGTTCAGCCGTGCATCACCGGAGCATATGCTTTCTGAGTACCATTGAAAGAAACATAATTGAGCTGTAAATTTCGAAAAAGCATACAAGAGCTAAACATACAGAAAGCCACGCCGTGGACACTGAAAGATTGTTCATTCAGCTTCTGGAAACGGGCTGAATAAAAAAGCACAAAGAAAAGATTTTTTTGGAACTTCTTATGCATAGTCTTTATTCATGACATGAATTGTCAGCCTTGCGATGTAATAAAAAAAAAAGCGGTAATATCTTATGAAAAAAAATTAGATTATGCCAAATTGTTCACAATTTTGGATAATATAATAAATGACTTCTGGCAACTAAAAAAGGATAATTTAAAACTTATAAGCAAATAGCTCAGATGCAGCTAAGTACCCTATTGTTCTGCACGCCGAGGAACCATCAACTTATGTTTGAAATGCAAATGATGAACGCATGCAACTCGGCTTTGAATTTATAAGGAATAATTTGCAACAAGTTTTATAATACTGGGGATGAGAAAACCAAGTTTTGAGGCACATTTGGCACCAAATCTTATGCCACCACTTTCAAGGTAAAATTTAATCATTTTACGGCTGATATACCTTCTCAGCGGTTCGATGACCAAGAAAAGGATCCCTTTTTATTCAGGAACGTTGTACTTGATTACATCAGTCCATTGTGCATCGCACAGAAAAAACTACATAAAAAAGCTATATTTGTTCTTCACTTGTCTTACAATGCGTGCAGTGCAATCCGCTTGCAAAACACGGAAAATCTCTCAACGGAGAATTGCTTAGCAGCAGTTCAAAGGTTGATGGCTCGCCGCGGAGAACCAAAACGAATTCTTCCGGATAATGCAACTTACTTTGTAGCTCCACGCATCATTTTACTCGTAAATATTATTCATATTTACAAAAACATGGACAATACCAAGAAAATAAACAAACTGTTCTAATGAAGAATTTTGAGTGATGTACAAAAAGGCAATTAAAAACAAGGATAGTCGGCTGCACTGCATGTAGCACAGAATGTTCCGAGCATATTCGTGAAAAAGTAAAAAAAGTTTTTTCTTCAAATTAGTGTTGTCGTGAGCGGTGTTATCAAACTATGCAGTTTTTTCAGGCCAAATGGCCACTTTTTATAGATAACGAATGTTACTCGATCTATTCCGATGATATATCACTCGACACAGTCCGATGATTAATCGTGGTACCCCCTGATGTTGCTTGGAAATAAAAAAAACTAAAACACATCCAAATACAAAGTTCCCCCATTTTCAATGGTCGGAACAATAATTACGGGCTGTTATGGAAACATATCATAATTTTTCAAATGAAAAACTCTTGCTTTTTTTTGGCTCCACAATTATTTTGAAAAATACTCAATAATAAGCTTGCTAGGAGTTCGGATACCGTCACAACAAGGCTAGGAATTAACATAGCGTAGTGTATGTTTTTCCCATCCGATTTTGACTGCCTCAAGGATATCTCGAAGGGAGCTAAGAGAGGTATCATAATTACAAAATATTGATCGTAGTTCGGACTCCAGAAACATCTGCATCAACGAATCCCACTTATTTAATTCAATGTACAATTCCGCTTCGCGTAAATTAGTGAACAGTAATTTCAGAGAAGTTTTCTGGACACAGAACTTTATAGAAATATCTCTTCTCACATATTCTGAATCAGAACTTGGAAATTTTGGTACAGTACAAACTAGTACCGCACTCAACACCGTATGAGCTTCTTAGGTCCGTGCAGGTACTTCAAGCTATTCAAAAAAAATTCCGTCCTAGCGGAGCTGTCGGGACAAAAACGATTAATTAAATATCTGTTTTCAGATTTTCCGTAGCTTTTGGGTGACAAACAATTAGATGGATTAAGCCTCTTTTGCTGAACTTTTTCAGTTATTCAAATCGATTCAAGAAGTTGTAACTGTACACTTGTTAGGTGGTTTATGAATTATAATTTATTCAACGGGAAATTAAATACCAAAAGCTAATTTGCAATTCCTCTAGTCAGTTTTAAGTAGTTCGATCCGAAAAAAGAACGTAGAAGAAGAAGAGTTGATATATTTCTAAAAGCTTCCATTATGAACGTAACCATCATTGAGTTTTCCAATGGAACAATTACCGAATTCTCCGGAAAGTTCCAGGAGTTCCTGGCAACGAATACAGCCGAGATCAGAACCTTCTCGCAATCTGTGAACTCAGTTGGTTTTATTTTCTCTCTGCTAGGTGTACTCACTGCTGTTTGTCTTCTCAGGGAGAATGAGAGTTCTTCCAATGTGTTTCTAGCTGTCATTGGAATTGTGGACACATTGATGTCTGTGAACTTCATGCTCCAAATGTCAGAGCAATGGAGAGCAGGTAAGCAGCATATTACACAGTAAAAGAGTATTCAGTCACACCCAATGGACATCATTTCCATTTCAGATTGCAGAATGCTATCTTGGCATGGAAAATTTGAACAACAAAATCGGAAAATTTGCCAATAAAACCAATACCATTATAGCCAAACTTGTGTATGATTTTATAGTGAACTTACTCTCAATACTGGCTGATGATACCTTCAGCCCAGGACTAATCAAATCTGCTTTATAAGTATCAATCAGAGAATATTGGACCACCCTATTGAACAAAAACATTAAAAAAACAAAACTGAAGACAATTTTTTTAGCTATTCATTTGATTGTTCGCTTCTAGGAACGACCATATTTGACAAATATGTGAGCACGTGTCGTCTCTATGGATACTTCACCAGCATACTCTCTGTGGGTACTCGATTCTCATATATCTCTCTCGCAATAGACAGATTTTGTGCAGTCATCTTCCCTATCAAATACAGGCACACTTCTGCATTTCTGACTATGCTAACTTAATACCAACTAACTTTTCAACAGCCTCGATAAGATCCCTGTTTTTAATTTTTTGGTACAAAATGCTAGTAAATGATGAGATTCTAAATTCCATATTGAGATACATCAAAAATTGGATTGGATGGTTTCAACTAATATTAAGAATAACATGTTAGCAAGAAGCCCAAACTGTTAAAATTCAAAAAAATGTACTTTCAGAAGTTTTTTGAGGACGTTCTTCAAACATGCTCTTTTTTGCTGGGAGAGAGGCAGGATGGGTTGCAAAGTTTTGAAATTCAGTAGTGGAACAAACCAGAATAACGAGAAAAGTCACTCTTCAATTCGTCCCTTTTTCGCATTTAAATAGAAAAGCGAAACATTCCAGACACTGAGAAAAATGTCCTGAATGTTTTAAATGCAGCTCTAATTACCCTTGAAAGAGTTTCAGTGTGATAGCTATCATTTGACATCATCCGACGCTTTTGTGGTACCTGATTTCGCCCGAATACATCGCGAATTCCATCTCACCATAGGGGACGAGAACATAGCCTTTTCTTATCAAAAACATTAATTTTTCAAAAATGATAGCCATATACTGGGGTCCAAAACAGCACTGATTTATTATAACTTAAGTCAGAAGCAGACATGTGACTAAAGAAGCCATGGAACTGTGAGGACTGGATTACTCATTACACTGGCAGCAGCAGTGTCGGCAGCACTACTCAACATCCCGTATATTCTTCATGGTGATCTAATACTCAACTATGGTTAGATATTTTAGAAACACGACAACTATATGTACTTTTTTCTACACAATGGTGAAACGGAGCTTCGCAAAGTTTGCGATACAACAAAATATTGCGTTACAATATTCTTAATAGAAGAGACGATCGAAAAATTAACTTGAAAAAGTTATTTGAAAAAATCGACAAACTACATCTACAATAACTTCATATTTTGCCCTCGAAACTAAACTATGTAAATTGACAAAACCGATGAAGAAAAACATAATTCCGATAGATGTTTAAATTACTGAACTATCAATTATTGTCACAGTTTAAATCAAAATAAACCCATGTTTAGGAAAATAAACAAAAAACATACCAGGGATTATGCTTGACATTTAAGAAAACAGAGAATGAACCGACGGAAGCACGAACCCGAAAAAAAAACTTTTATTTCAAGAATTTTATTTGAAAAAAATTACTACCTGAAATGAACTCCACCTCATTACTATCTATCCTAAACGATGGTAGTTTAATTGAAATTTTCAAGAATTTGAGCATGCATACCATTCCTACTATATTGACCATTCTGTGAACAAATCCATGCACAGGAAAAGTCTAATACCTGGTTGCAATAACCTAGCTGCTCGCAAAGGTAAAAAGCGACAACTTAAATTTCGCGAGTTTTTGGACTATCAGAAGCCGAGAAAACCCAAAATGTATAAAAACAAGCATCATCGGTTGCTTGTTAAGTAGCAAACAAACTTCTGACCTCAGCAAACTTAGCAAAATATAATAAAACAATTAAAATTTGAACAAGTTTTTGCAACCACTTTGGTATACGAGCTAATAGCACAGTCAGTGCAACACAATTTCAATATTCAGTCGAATGAATTGTTCAAAGAAGCAAAAAATAGAAACTCATATACTCGTCGATGTCGATATTCCGACAGACCGTCGGAAAAGAGTCATTGAACGCAGGTGAACAGAAAAAAAAATGTTGTTTTTAAAATCTCAGCTTCAAATTTCAATGAAAAAAATATATGGCCCTGAAGCTCTACGAATTTCTAAATCAACTTCTGACTGAAACTTTTGATAAACTTAAACTAATTTGAGACACTGGATTAATAAGAAAAATTTTTCTTCCGCTGGGAAATTTGAAATTCATTTCCGAAAATAGAAATCGATCACGTTTTTTGCTACCTTTACTCTTTTGCTGTTCGAAAGTGGAGTTTGCCTTCATTTTAACAAAGGAAAATAACTGAGTTTTAAAAAAATCAAACGTCAAACCGTGAAAACTCAAATTTGAGCCTGAACAAACTTCAGAACTTTTCCTGAAAAAAATCACGATGACCTACATAAAAGTGTAAATTATGTTCAATGACTCTTTACACATAGCCAACAGACAGTTGGAAAAGAGTGAACGAACACAAGAAAACAGGGAAAAACGGACATATTTTTGAAAAAACTTCAACTTTCGAATTTCAAGTAAAAAAAAGATTTGGCTTTAACCCTCTTTCAATTTCAATATAACTTCATGATTGACACTTTTTTTGATAAAACTAACTCAATTAGAGGAAATTGGATTAATGGGTAGAGATTTTACTCCGCTGCGAAACCTAAAAATTAAATTCTACTAAGTCATGGTCAACTCGTTCACGTTTTTTTGAAGCCATTTCGACGTTCGTAATTAGTGCAATTTACGTCACTTTTAGCTGATTAATTTCAACTGAACTCATAAAGCGCATATAAGCCTAAATGCATTCATAAATGCAATAATATGTACGAATGCACATCTGTAGTTATAACAGCATTTCAAGACGTTCCTGAAAAAAACCAAGACCTATATAAGAGTCTTCACTACGCTCAACGACTCTTAAAAGAGAACATTTCAAGCCAGTTTTTCTCGAGACTGAAATACATATTTCGAGAAATTTTAAGCGGACTTGCCTGCAAAGATTTCAAAATACTAAGTCCCTAGCAATTTCTTAATTGGAACAACACGACAAAGAGTGCAAAACTTAGAACATTTTAAAAAAGATTGCCACCTCTTTTCATTTTAGCCGGCACAGGGTTCTGGTGTCAGATATTCTCCTCTTCATTGCACCAAAATATCTTCGCGTGGTGTGACCGAATTCTCAACACAGGAGTGGCTGGACTGTGCAATGCCTGCACATGTGTGTTTGTACTCAAACGATGGCTGGCAACCAGGCGCATCCAGTCTAACACTGTTGTCACAGCGAGAAACTATGTACTTAAATCCTTTCTTTCTGTTGCGAACACCAAAAATGTAAACAAATACTCTTCGATCAGATTTAAGTGTGACAAAACACATTTAAATCAAAACAAGACTGCTCGTATATCAGGGCGAGGCCCTAAATCATCCGACTGCACTTTATTACCAATTAAAAGGTTTTTTTTGGTTGCTGAATAATTGACGAAATAATCGAAAAAAAAAGTTGGTTGTCTCTTATTGCTTTAAAAGGACTAATATGCTGGCCTCAATTCAATTTGGAACGCATTGATTCACCACTTACGCGTGCTATAAGAACCCCTTATATCGGGCGTTAATTATCCCAAATTAGCAATTTTCAAAACCCCGTAAAAAATTCACAGGCAAAATATGTTTTAAATTTGAGCTCAGGACAGCAATATCTTTTAGATGCTATATAAAATTTTTGTCAAAAATGCTTAGTTAAGAAGTCGAAAACAGACTGTATAAAAAATCCACTAACCATTTCCGAAAGTCGGAACAACAACACTGCTCATAAGGGTAAAGCACTGGATATTCCGGCAGTCTCAGATTATTTTGACAAAGAAAATGAACAACAGATTTTGAAATTCGTTCGTTTTTCCTACCCAACAGTCAAAAAGTAACAGTAAGTCCTATAAAAATGAGCCATATAGGTAATCAATATGACCTAATAGCTTGTCTCGCATCATTTTGAAAAAACCTTTAGTGCAGGATAATTCGCCCTGCATAAATAATTCGCACTCACGCTTTCATCATCAAATGTAATCTTTTTTTAAGGGCACTCATACATAAAGTCCAGAACATGGCCAACCTGGCAATTTTGAAACGCTTATAACTTTATACCAAAAAGATAAATTTGGAACGATTTTCAGCGAGGATCAACAAGCAGTCATCGTGTTAGAAAAGATTAATTACGCTAACTTGGCAGTTTTGAAACACTCGTAATTGGACAAAAATGATCGCAGATACAGTAACTGATTTACATGTGAACTCAGGATACCAATGTCTTAAGAATGCTAGAAACAACATTGTTGATTAAAGAATATTGTTGATGAAAGATGACTTTTTGCAAATGAATTTGATGTGGTGAGAAAAACTGCATGTAAATCATATTCAGGATCACCACAGCGACTGCCCGCATTGAGCTGAGAAGCTCGTCATGTCCCTTTTGAATAAATGCTAGAAAGTGAGTCTAATCAGAAACTGATAATATATTCTAGGCTGAGCAAAAAAGACGAGAGAGGCGTCAACTAACCGTGACATTAGTTCTAGTGGCCATGTCTGGCTTCTCCCTGATACTCCAATGGGCAGAAACTATCTGGTGGGACAAGGCCTTGGAGTTATACGTGGAGAGCAAAGAAGCATATAACAGTTCACATTATATTGTCATGGCCATCACAGGCACTGCAGGCTGACCAAATAAAAAATAAATAGAAACCTGAGAAAAAAATGAGATTAAGAAGAATTTGCTAGGCAGTTGAAAGCCATTGTAACACGGACGGATCTCAAAAATACAACGGATCTCAAATTATCAAAAATAGAAATAAAATAGATCTTCGTATCAGATACTAGAAGCAATTGAAGATAGCGACCGATCGAAGGACAGCTAACCTTTTAGAGCTTGAATAAGTAAGAGTGTTTAAATTACTGGTGGATTTTAATGATAATAAAAAGTAATAATATAGCAATCATCTGGTCACCCTCGAAATAGGAACAAACTCCGCGTCCAACTTCCTGTTCTACATGTGTCTGCCAAGCATGCGGGAGGCACTGGCGAAGAACTTGAAACGATGCATTCCAAGAATTATACCGCAAACTGGCCGCGCGCCATAGAAAACAAGAAACACAGAATGTTCCGACCACAACGATTCAAGTAAAGAATTTCTAAAGAAGAAAAGTTGAGAACAGCGAAAAAGCTGCAATAACGAGACGCTGTAATAGCTAAATTAGTGTGAATTTGGTTGAAAAATCATTTGGCTCCTAGTGAAGCATGTCATTGTAATCAGTGCAAAGTATTATTAAATCAATTTTTAATCGTACATTTTTGAAATGGAGAATAATATCAGAACTTACCTTCGCAGAACAGATCTAGAGCTTCGAATCTCTTCCGCAGTACTTTCACAGCTAACAACGGACTCTCGTCAACCAGACAGTCACCCCCGGCCGCGTCTTGTTCTTTGTCGCTGTTAGTTCCCTCTGTTAAACTCCCCCACCAGTTATCAACCAGATTTTCTCTTTTCACACAGGGCGGAGTCTTTAATTCACTCTCGATTTCACAGGAAGAGTTGTTTTCCTGGATAAATTAAAACAAGCGATATTAGACAACACATGGCACAGTTTAACAGCATTGAGTGGAAAAATGAAGTAATTGCATACTTTTTAATGGTCACAATAAAGTCCGATCAATATACTTTGACATTAGGTTTGAAACATAATTTGGAGACTGCAACTTCACGATTTTTGCCAAATAAGCTTCAGATTAGAACCGGGATTTGAAAAAAAGTCACCAACTATCTCAAGTTTAATTTAATTTGAGACTTCTCTAAAACGTCAAAACTGTCGAAAAAGTGACACATAGTAAAAACCTGTACCTTTGACTCGTTGATGGGAGACTCCAAATTGAATTCGGAGTCTGTTCGCTCTGAATTTCCTTTGTCTGTAGCAAAATATATGGATAGATTTGCAGCCGAGTTTTCCTTCTAAACGGAAAATAACTTTTTCATATGGAGATTAATTATTCAAGCACCATGTTGGCTCTTATTAGTTCTTTAGTAGTGTATTGAAAGATGAAGGCCGGGAAAAATGTATTCAGCTCTTAATTTTTTCATCTATAACATATGGCAAACAAGGTTACTAGGAACAGAAGTTTCTCGGTTGTTTTCAAGTTATTTGTTCATTACTATAAGCTACAAATTTTTTGTCAAACAATCTCCACTACTTTTCATTTTACATGCAAATATTCATTACCTTTTCAGTATTTAGATCTTTTATCGGCGTGAAGAAATTTTCCCCTGCAGTTCCCGGCTCCTGTCCGAAACTTTCACTCTGATCAAAACTTTCAAAACAACTGTTCCAAGTCGCGTTTTCAGTCGTAGTATTCGAACTTAAAAAACCTTCTTTACTTTCACTTCTGTCCCAATTCGGAACAATCGGACTCAAAAAATCACTGCTTCCCAGTTTCTGATCACGCTCGTTTGAATCCTGCTCCAAATTATTTAGTTTATGCGGTGTGCTTTCGATCAAATTCGGAACTAGTGTTCTTTCAAACGATGAATCGCTATGATCGATTTCATTTTGATCTAAACTGAGGTACAATTGACATTCAGAGTCTTGATTTCCGCTGCCTTCTGGACTGTCAAATGATACCAGAGAATAGAAGGTAGCGTCTGATGTTAAGTCAGTCGACTGGTTGATATGTATTGTGGTCTGGGATTCATTATTCTCCTCGGGCTCTCGGTTGAGGGACATTCAAATCATTTCACACGCATCACAATCGAGGTACAGTTAAAAACATAATCACATTACAGGCTCTAAAAATAATAGATGCAAGTGAGTTAAAACCTAACTGCAAGTCAGTTATTATTTTCCACCTGAAAAAAAAAATTGTCGGAAAAAACTATAATCGATTTGTTTAGAGGAAAGCCCGGATCCGTGTTTGATAATCGCTTATGTTACACAGCGGCAATGCGGAAAACATATTTGCTATTCAAAAAAAAGTTGTTCGAAACTAACCACGGTCCATCAATTCTCTATAAGACTTTGAAAGCATACAAGCCATGACATCATTTGTGAAAAAAAGATAAAAACAAATTTTTTCTCAGAATTTTATAATTAGATAAAAATCACTAACTCAGATAGCTTTAGTCATAAGGCCCATTCACTCCTTTCTTGTGATTACAAAAAATGAAGCAAAAAAGACCTTAACTCGCAAGCACGTTAAAAAGTCGCAAGCACGTTACCTATACTCTGCACTCAACAGTATTAGGTAGTAACACAAGCTTAACCCAGGGGAGGGGGTGAGCTGGGGCGCGGGTAGGATCTTGGAGCGAAAAAAATAAATCTTTAAATATTGATTTTTCGACCAAGACATGAACATGAAAGTTGCTCAGCATCGAAAACTATATTAAAAACACATTAATGGTTCGAGTTTTGCCTCATCATATGTATCATGACTCATCGAAAACATAATTTTCGATGCTAGAGTAGGCATTTGATGCTGAACAACTTTCACGTGTTGTAGCTACATCAATTTCTGCTTTGAGCTTCTGATTGAATTAGAGAGATCGTTTATGTTTGAGAGATCGAGGAAGAAAGAGTTAGGGAAAATTTGTTCGTGTCTGGTCATATTGATTTTGTCTCGTTCAATCTATCACTGCAGTTCCCCCGGGGTCTCTAGCGGCAAAACCGGTGTTGAAGGGGCAAAATCGGCGTATTCATGTTCATAAAATGGTAGAAAATCAATGTTAAAAGTGTTATTTCTTGCTCTTAGCTCTTTCCAACACCGCAGGTAAACCATCCTGGTTAAAACTTGTTCAACTACGTACTACTCTCAGCAGCCAAAAGTAGTAGCAGTAACTTAGAATTCGAACAAAATCATTGAACAAAGTTACCAACCAGAAAAAGTACCCGGTTGCAATAGCCTTTCAAATTGCAAAAAAAAGACTATAAAACCTTTAAAATAACATAAAATTATCCCTCAATTTTCAATTTCAACGCAAACTGAAATCAAAGTATGCCGAGAAATTCAAGCACCATTGACATATACTTTGTTTGCTATACATTGAAAAATTATATAGTTATGATTCAGAGCTTCAAAAAACCTGCAATCAAGGGTTACACAGGGGCGACACGAAGCTGCGCTCTGCAAACACTAGCGAGAAAACGACAAAAAAAGCAGCTCTATGAAGTGAAGTAAGGAAAAGTAAAAACAAAGCATAGTAAAAATTTTGCCACGTCACGTCACGGACTTGAACCATAGTTTTCACTGGTCACTTCCAATGACGCGGTGGGAACAATAAACAAATTCAGTCGAAAAACAATAACTATGAGAAAACTTTTTCTTAACAATCTTGAATGTTTGGTAAACCGGAAAACATACCTGGCTTCAAAAAAAGTATCAGATTTAGGTAGCAAAAAAGAGGCTTTCAGGCAAAAAAATTAACAGATTTTTAACAGACACAAAGAGATCACTTTTAGCTTTGAAACATTTAGATTGATTCTGGCATAACTTTGATTTGGTCTTAATCGTTGAGGCAACACAACAATTCAAGAAGAGCAGTTGGGTTGACTTAAATTTTGCCAAGATATAAGAGTTAGGGGCGGATCTAGGATTTTCTCGAGGGGGGCGGCGGATTTTCAAAAAAAATTATCATAAGTTTTGTCGACCTTTTTTTCAGGTCGACCAAATTGATTTTCTGAGATCTTCCAAATCACTATAAAGACCCTATAAATTCCATATCACTATTTGACCAAATTTTGTGCGCCGGAGGAAAATTTTTGAAAAAAGGCCAAAAAAGGAGTTTTTAGGCACTTTTTGGAAAATTTCGACCAAAAATAAGCATTTTTTCATAAACCAAATAGTTGATTTTTCTGAAAAATTTTTGAGATGTGTTGGTGACCGAACACTAGTGACTAAGCCCATGATTTACCCAAAACTAGAGTCACTAAAAGGTTAAACGTCTGGCATTTACGATGCATTGAAAACCACCTGAACTGTGTAAGCGTTCTTTTTACAAATCACAGGATTATTTTCAAAATTATAATTTTCATATTATCATACACTGATCAAGGCATATATAAACATGCCATACAAAAGAAATAGGAGTTTTTTTAAGATTTTTTGAAAAAAAGTTATACAGAGAAGCGGAAAAAAAATCCAATTTTTGTGGATCCAGGAATACGTTATGCAGACAAAAAATTGCATGCAAAAATTTTTTTGAAAAATTTTTGTTTGAGCACAAAATTCGATAAATTTTTTCTGATAAAAAATCAAAAATCAAAAAAAAATTCGGCTGATAAAATTAGAAAAATAATTGGGGCAATTTCAATTTTACTTGGAAAAAATTTTATTGTCGCCATCAAAAAAATGCTAGTCATACAATATTCATATAAGGAAACTGTATGATAACCATTTTTTTCCAAAAAAATAAACATGTTTTTTTTTCATCACCAGGACGTTCCATTTGGTTTAAATAGCCGCAGAAACAAGCTCGAATTTTTTTCAAGGATTTTTTGAAATTGTATGAAAATTGTATGACTAGCATTTTTCCATACATTTGATGCATGGAATTGTATGATAAACGTTTTCGGTATATGGAATTGTATGATAAGCATTTTCGCTTTATGGAGGTCAACCCGGGTCATTACGACCAAAACCAAATAAAATATTTGAGCATATGACGAAGATTTTATTCTCTGGGTGAGTTTTTAAGTAAAAACAATTTATTTAATTAAACATTCTGACGTAAAACTTTTTCGCATAGAAAAGCATTGAACAAAGTTTTTTCCAGCGATTGTTTTTGTGAAGATTAGATGGTTTCAAAATTGCCTAAAAACAGGCGCAGATCTAATAATTTCTCGAGGGGGGGGGGGGTTTATTTTCAAAAATAGTTTGAAAATTTTGCGGACCAAATTGATTTTTGAGCTCTCCCAAACCACTATAAATACTGTAATTTGAAAATATTTTGTGCGCCGCAGGAAAATTTTAAAAAGGCCAAAAATTTTTTTGAAAAAAGGCCAAAAAAAATGTTTCGACCAAAATATTGCTAAATGTCTGATGTTGCATTAAGATCAAATCTGTTCTTAATAATTTATTTGTTCACGATGCCAATTTTCATTGCGTTATGACAACACTAGGGGGTATTCTCATGATGTAAGAGACCGAATGATGGAATACCTTTAACCCATCAGAATCGTTCCTATTATTTTAATGTCGTCTTCAGGTTTTTTCTACAATACAGTCAATTTTGCACAAAACAGTCATCACACAGAAGCGAAGCTCAGCTTGGCACCACTTGCGAGACATATAGCCTCCAAAGCGTGAAAAAAATTGAGAACATACCCAATCGAAGATTGGAAAGAGTAATGAACGCAAATAAACATAAAAAAAAAACTGACTTTGTTGAAAAATCTTCGCTTTTGAAGTTCAAAGAAAAAATAGATGTCCTTTAAGCTCTTTGAATGTGTAGAACGATTTGTGATTTGCGCTTTTTTGATAACAGTAACCAAAATTGAGAAAAACTGGATCAACAGCTAAAATTTTTATTCCGCTGGAAATCTAAAAAAATAAATTCCACTTTCAAAACTAGAAATCGTTCGCGTTCTTTCGCGCAATTTCCACGTTCGTATTTGGAGAGTGATATTTAGGTCACTTTCAGCAGATGATGTTCAATTGAACTCAAAAAGTGCATATATACCTAGGTTCATTCATAAATGCATGAATATGTATGAATGCACATCCGTAGTCATTAGAGACATTTATGCACATTTTAAGACTTTTTCCAATTTTGCCTTTTAAATTAGAGGTCCATTTTCTTTTGAGATAATTTGAGTACACATCCACTTCTAATTGAACGTCAATAAACTGCTTAGAACGAAGTCAAAAACGGGAATGGAATGATAGAAGAAAATTAAGACTTTTTTCCTAAAAACAAAACAATTGAAACAAGAGAAGACGGTAGCTGTGCAAGTAACACAGAACTTTCCAATCACATTATGAAGCTCATTTTTTTTATAGTCAGTTGGTTTTTGTTGCCAGAAGTGGGGAGAGGGCTTATAAGAACGTCTAGAGCCCCAATAAATTGGGCATAAATGACTGCAGCTGTCTTCAAAAACTGAATTACAAAAAAAATCAGAAAAAATTCAAAAAGGTTTCTAAATTTTTGCAGCTCATTTTTGAAATTTGTTCAAATCGTTTGATTGCCACGGAAGCTCTAAGTTAAGCTTCGCAGAACATTTTTATTGCAATAAAATTACATTTTTGCGGATTTATCAAACGCTTTCCTTATTATAACAAATCCTTTACTTGCTCGAGTAGACTAAAAAGCAAAAACTTTAAACCAGTTTTTCTTGTCCGTTTGCTTTACTTGCTCGAGTAGACTAAAAAGCAAAAACTTTAAACCATTTTTCTTGTCGGTTGGATTATTTTTGAAAATTTTCTCATTTCGATCAAATCGTGACTAAAAGCACTTCAGTATGGGATGTCACTCATCCCATTTGATGATTATATTCGGTAGTTAATTTTGCGCGGAAAAAAGTTTTAACCAAAATTTACAAAACAACAAGGATAGCCAGTTGCAGAGCAAGTAGCATAGTATTTTTCGCCCATAGCAAAAAAAAGATAAGGTTTACTTATTTTTAAATTAATGTCCATTCATTCGAAACTTAATCTATTTGCTTTTTAAAGAATAAGAGCTAAATGAAGCTGCCTTATTTAGTTAAGCTAAGATATTCAATACTTCAAAGAAAAACTCTTTTTATAAGACCAACTCGCTCGCTTCATTCCTCACTAAGAACCAAAAACTTCAAA